TATCCAGTGCTTGTATAAATAAATCTTAAAAAAAAAATGAACTAAAACAGAAAAAAGTACGAAGAAAAAAGAATGAAGAAACACTTTGAGAACTATATGACTCCCTGAGGAAAGGAAATATAAGAGTCATAGTGTTAGGGGGACAGGATGTCCTGAGCAAACTCCATAGAGGCTTTGTGCATGCCACTCCCAATCCATCAAGACACTGGGAACTACAATTTCCATGATCCCCAATGGGAAGTTGCAAGGACCTAAGGGCAGTGTTAAGTAGCCATTTTCTCAGTTTATAAATAAAGCCAGCCAGGTTAGTGGGGTCTGGGGGCACTTGGCTCATGCTCTTGGCCAGGCAGGTTGGGTCTCGGTGGGTCATTTGGGATTCCAGGTAGGCGGAATGGGTAGGATGCATTTAAGAATTTATCTCCCTCTTTTCTCCCTGAGTTGTACGTTTCCTCATTTCCCTTTCCCTTGTAAATAAACCTTTGTTAACCTTTTGTGTGTGCCTGCAGAGTGAGTCCCTTTTAAGCATGCGGGGGAGGACCTAGAGTCAGGCAACCCATTTTAGAGCAGGGTTGCCCTGTAACAATAGGAATCCCAGAAGTAGAGGTGAGAGAACAAGGAACTAAAACTATTAAGGAGATAATTGAAGAGAACTCCCCAAGCATGAAGATGAGAAAAAAAATGGACATACAAGAAGCGAGAAGAATACCAAATTTCCATGATGAAAGGAAAACTACAGCAAGACCTAATTGTAGTAGGGATCCCAAGAATACAAGGGAGAAATAATGCAGCTGATGAGGAGGAAGAAACAGGTAACATATAAAGGAAAACCAATCAGACTGACATCAGACTTCTCCAAAGAAACACTGCAGGAAAGAAAAGAATGGAGGGACATATTCAACAAATTCCAAGACAACAAATACCAACCAAGAATACTTTAACCTGCAAAACTCTCCTTCCCTGAGGAAGAAAAAATAAGGACCTTCTCAAACAAACACAAACTCCAGAAATTCATTACGACTAAAACGCCACTCCAAAAAAATACCATCAGAAGTCCATAGTGCCAGGAAGGCCCAGAGCTGGTTCTTTATGACCCAAGCAGCCCAGTAAAGGAGGAGCCCTGGAGCCCACAGTGGCTTTCTCCGGCTTTTATTGAGCTTTTACATGTAGTGCAGCAACCAAGTACATGGCAGGAGGAGGTGCCCCAGGACCTCTTAGCCCCAGGGGAATCTTCACTCTTTACTGGGTTCTCTGGCACTCTGTCTCCTGTTCTCTCTCCTCTTCTCTCTCCTGCCTCCGCTTCTCTTGGCCAATATCTAAATACTGCAGCCATCACCCAAAGTAAATAATACAACTGAATAAAACAATGTAACAAAATGCAGGTGACCACCAAGCATGCAATCCTAATGAAGGGAGGGCTGAAAAGCCTGAAAATCATTTACCATACAAAGTCCTCAAGTCAAAACCAACAGAGGAATGAATAAGAAGAGACTAAGGCAAGCAAAAAAATCATACAAAATACAAAAAAAAAAAAAAAAAAAAAAAAACCAGGCAAATCCAGATGCTAATATATCAGTATTAACTTTAATTGTAAATGGACTAAACTCATCAATAAGAAGACACAGAGTTGCTGGCTGTATTAAAAGACAAAATCCAACCTTCTGCTATCTTCAGGAAACACATTTAACTACAAAAGATGAACACAGACTGAAAATAAATGTTTCGAAAACAATCCTACAAACAAATGGATCAAGAAAGAAGGCAGGAACAGCTATACCACTATTAGATAAAATAGACTTCAGGCTAAAAAAGGTGAAAAAAAAAAATAACACAAAGATGGGCCTCCCTGGTGACACAAGGGGTTAAGACACAAACTATGAAGCTATTCTCAGCCACTGCAGCACGAGTTTGATCCCTGGCCTACCAGGGTGCTACTCACATGGCACAGCAGATCTCTCCTGACTCGCCCGCTGCTTCCCTCAGCAGTGTATTTCTGTGATCTCTTACTGCTCTGTCTGTGGCAAATCCTCTCACCCCTTCCACTGCACCTCTGGCCTATCCCCCAGTTCTTGTTTGCATAAATAAATGAATCTTTTCTTTTCTTTTTTTTTTTAAAGAGAGACAAATGTGGACACTACATTATGATTATAGGGGCAGTACATCATTCATCAACATATACTCACCAGTGGAGGAGCACTAAAATATGACAATATTAGCTCTGAAAACAGATATTACAGAAAATAGGTCTATAGTAGGCAAACCCAACAATCCACACGTACCAATGGACAAATAAATGAGACAAAAAATAAACAAAGACACTAGAGCCCTAATAAAGACCTAGATCTCATTGGCTTAACAGACATCTATAGGACACTGCACCTAAAAAATCCCAGTGCTTATTTTTCCCAAGAGCACAAGGATCTTTCTTGAGAATCAGTCACTAATTTGGCCACAACACAAACATCAACAGATACATGGAAATCAAAATAATTACAAATATCTTCTCTGATCATAAAGGGATCAAACTAGAAATAAATGATGAAAGAAAAGCAAGGAAGCCACCCACTTTGTGGAGGTTGAAGCCACACTACTAGAATTAAGGATTAAATTCTATAGGATTAAAGAGGAGATCAAAGAAGAAATTAAAAAATACTTTGAGTTGAATGACAATGAGGATCTCACTATCCAGAATGTACAGGACGCAAAAGCACTCGAAAAAGGAAAGTATATAGCAATAGAGGCTCACATCAAGAAACAAGAAAGAACTGAAAGAAACAACCTTTTCTCCCATCTCAAAAATTTAGAAAAAGAAAAACAACAACAAAAAATCCCCAAAACCAGTAGAAGAGTGAAATAAAAAAAAAAACAAAAAACTCAGGCAGAAATAAAAGAAATACAAATGAAAAAGACAGTCCAAGATATCAAAGAAACCCAAAACCGGACCTTTGAAAAAATAAACAAAATAGGCAAACCTTTAGCCAGGCTCACAAAGGAAAAAAAGGGAGGAAACCCAAATAAATAGGATCACAAATAAAACAAGATAAATGATAAAATAATAGACATGGTAGAGCGCCAGACAATAACCAGAGATTATTATGAACACTTATACACAAAAAAGTTTGACAACCTGGAAGATATGGACAAATTCTTAGAATCATACATCAGCCAAAGCTGGAGAAAGAAGAAACAGGAAACCTAAACAAACCAATTACAAACAATGAAACTGAAACAGTGATCAAAACACTCCCCAAAAACAAGAGCCCAGGACCAGATGGATTCACAAAAGAGTTCCACAAAATGCTCAAAGATTAACTGATCCTATCCAACAAAATCCCACAGCTAACATCATTCTCAATGGTGAAAAGCTGAAAGCCTCTCCTTTAAGACCTGGAACAAGACAAGGATGTCCACTCTCAACACTGCTCTTCAACATAACACTGGAAGACAAACTCATGCCATTTTGCAGCAACATGGATGGAGCTAGAAGGGACGGTGCTCAGTGAAATTAGTCAGAAGGAAAAAGAAAAATATCAGATGGTTTCATTTAGAGGAAGAATATAGGAAAACTAAAGAAAGGGTCAGGGGAAAAAAGACAAAAGTATCAGACAAACTATAAATCAGAGACCTACGGCAGGGGAGGGAGAGGGATCAAATGGGAACGAGAGATCAAGAGACTACGGTGACAGTTCACGGGTGACTTGGTGGTGGAAATTTATGGGGATCACATCTGAGAGGAGAAATCAAAAATCGTATAAAAATGAGCAACAAAGTAAAATATGTACCTGTATATATGCAAATGTATATAATTTAATTAAAAATCCATGACAGGGCCCCAGTGAGGGCACACAGGAGCAGCCCAGGGATCAGCTATCACAAGGCAGGCCAAGCATCAGCAGAGCAAGCAGGGGAGCCGGGCACAAGAAAGAGGCTGCACCTTTCCATGAGCCCAAGGAAATTGTCTTACAAAATCCATCCCATGAGCACCTGCTAGCAGATTAATATTCTAAGAAGTGCTGAGGAAAAATAGCCAAGGATGTTTTAGAATGAAGATGATGGGTGTGTAAGAGAACCACAGCTTTTAAGATGGGGTACTTACCAGCAAATCGCCTCTTAGAAAAGGGAAGAGCAAGTGAAACTCTAAACAACAAGTGCCACCGCTGCTCATCCTCACAAACTGTGTGGATGGAAAAGGTTATTTCATTCCTATTTACTTCAGTTCCTTATCCGACCTGGGACCCTAATTATTTCCACCACTATCTGTGGGCCACTGACTGATACGTCCAAAAGCTACTCTGTGTCATTTCAAATGACATTTTAGTCTCATTCTTGTTGTTTTAAAAACTACTATCTGCAAAATGAAGGTGTGTTTTTCTCTGAGTTAGAGAAAATAAAGGACATCACTGTAGCTTAACATTTCAAGATCTTATACTTTGATTTGGTTTGCAAAACTGATGAATCTAGCAACAGTTGCCATTTTGAGAAACCAGAGCCATCTTCCCCCTTCAAAGTTTCCTTCTCAGGTTCCTCAGAAAGAACATGTGTGAGGAGGTGGCAACTGATATAAAATGGGCGTTGGGGTATTTCTGAACAACTGTCAGCCTAGGAGTTGATCTACTAGGAAATCTATCATCTCCTGCACTTTTCTGCAGTACATAACGTGAGGACACAAGAGTGTGTATGCGCAGGAAAATGCTCTACATACTCCATTTTGATTCTTTTCTCATTACTGACCTGAGTTACATCATTTCACGCTTATCAGTAAGCCCTCCACAGGGCTAATTTGGCATGAGCTCCGAAACGGCCACCGTCTGTGTCTGCTGCACACCAAGCTAGCTGGGAGCTTGACCCTCCAGTACCAGGGGCCGTGACCCCTTGCCAGCAAAGAGGGCTCAGTGCTCACTCTCAGTGACAAGAGGCTAAGGCTCCCCCAGGATGATCCCAGAAAGGCTGCGTTCTCCCAGGACCTCCCTCCTTCTCCTTGCTGGCCTCCAAGTGCCCGGTACCTGTGTTGCGAGTCCATCTCATTCAAGGCCCTTTTACGCCGCAGAATAAGTGCCTCCACTTCACAGACATTGCCAATGAGAGCAGCTCTGTGGATCTTCTTGAGACCTTTTTCTTTGATGTTGCCATACCCAAGTCTGCTTCTCTTAATATTAGGGTCGAGAACAGGGCCAGTAACGGTGATTATCTTCTGTGAAGTGCAGGTAGCCCGGGGAGACCAACGAAAAATCTTCCACATGGCAAAGCCCAGGACGTTGGGAGAGACCTCGCTCCCCCCTACCCCTGCACTTTCGCTGCCTCTACCACCCAACAATGGCACTTAGGAAAGAATCGCCAACCAGTCAAGCACTACTAGAGGGGCCAGGAAGGTCATCACAGCCAAGTTCCCGCAGAGCTGGGGGACTTTCAGTTGGAAGAACCAACCGTTGCCAAGCAACACCAGTAAACAGCAGTGCACATCAGGAGGAGGCACATGCTCAGTGTCATGGTGATAGAGTGTAGGTATAACATGGAAGCCTATGCTTTTAATACAACACAAGATACCCAAGCACACACATGCAGACAGACACACACACACACACACACCATGGCACTGGGCTCATAATGCAATAAAATTACCATGGGTGGTCTTCTCCACTGATGCTCCAGCATGTACCTTTAAAGGACACATCAGGCATAGGTCCCCGTTGGCATCCAGTGCTATTCATGGTAGGGAGGAGGCTATGGGTAGCTGGGATGGGAAGCTGTGGGCCCCGGAAGTCATACATATGGGAGCAGGACCCGAGTGCTATATGGACAGGAAGGAGGGTGCATTGCAGTGGGTGTACAGAAGAGTGGGTGTGGATCATGGGCCAACCTAAGCTCAAAGCAAATCTGCAAGCACAAACAGATGCTGGGAGAAACCTCCATGGTCTGTCAGCACCCTGGGAACCCAAGGGCAGTCATATAGCAGCAAGAACAATGAGAGTGGACCTGATTGAAGCCCTGCTAAATACTATTGAGGGGGAGGGTGCTTCTCAACTGCTGGGATAGACATCTGTCTTGTCAAAAGAGCCCATGATACCAACACAGGATTCAAAATGAATCTGTTTGATCAGAGCTCCTTTGGTTACTAATCACATTTCACCTTGGACCACTGCCAAAGAGGCGGATGTTGTTCACTTTAGAAGCCCAAGTTCATTATCGGTCAAGATGGACACACTTGTACAGTTTCAGTTTTGAAACAGACAGTTTGAGAGGGAAAAGATCCAGCATCAGATTGAAAATGGACCGACTGACGAGAGCTCAACTAGCACCCAACATGTGGGATGGGCGCCTCCCCACCCTTGGCGCCTTGTGTTCTTTATGAAGCCCAACCTCAGTCCAGGTCAGGCTGCACACACTGGGGAAATTCAACTGACATCGGTCACATAACTGGGATGGTAAACTGCCCAATCTTATTGGAGCGCCCATGGTTGCCAATCAAAAATAGACTAATCAGGTTTGAATGGCAGGCATCCTGAAGAGTATGTAAGTCAGGTCCCAGCCAGTTTCCAGTCAGTCACACTCACCCAGACGCTCTCCCGTGGAGACCTTTGTAGAGCTGCAACATTAGTCCCTGTCCTCCTGCTCCACTACTTCAGTGACCTGTCTTCTGACTCTGCATCCAACATCACATGCCAAATGACACACTGGCCCTATGCTGGGCATCCTAAAAGGGCAGGAATGGGAGAGGATATTGGCACACCATACATCTGACAGGGGACTGCTATCAAAGATCCACAAAGAACTCATATAAATCTGAAAACAAAACAAAACAAACAACTTCTTCAAAAATATGGGCAGGAGAACGAAACAGACAATTCTTCAAAGACAAGCAGACTGCAGACAGATGTATGAATTAATGTTACAATCACTAATTTTCAGGGAAATACAAATCAAAACCACGATGAGATAACAGTTCATACCGGTGAGAAGGACTCACATAGCGAAGACCAGGAAAAAATATTAAAAAAACAAATACTGCCTAGAATGTGAGAAAAAGGAACCCACCTATACCGCTGGTGAGAACACAAACTGGTTCAACCTCTATGGAAAGCAGCATGTAGGTATCTCAAAACATTAAAACTATTATCTGCCTTTCAACCCAGTAATTCCACTCCTAGGCATCTACCTCCAATATTTAAATATATTCATTCAAAAGGAAACTTGCATTCCACTGTTTACTGTGGCACTAATTACTATAAGCTAAATTATGGAGAAAACCTACATGGCCCCAAACAGATGAGTGTATCAAACAATGTGCTATATATATACACGAAGGAATAGTACTCAGTGATCAAAGAAGATGAACTCACGCCATTTGCGTCAACAGGGATGGAAAGGATAATGTTAAGTGAAAAATGTCAGAAGGAGAAAGATAAATACTGAATGGTGTAACTAATTTGTGAAATACAGAGTAGCTAAGAGTCAGATAAAGACAACCTTAAAAACTATTCAAAGCTGAGTACAGAACTAAAGCAGTCAGAAAGGGGAGAGGCTGGGGAAAGAACAAAGTGGGAAGGAAGCACAATGGACTACGGTAGTGGACGCCAAGTGATGTGGTAGTGGGTGTGCTATGCTGATAATATGTGGTGGGGTATCCAAACATTAACCTGATTGAAAATAAATAAATTTAAAACATTTAAAAATATTCCATGTAGCTGATTTTCATTCATCAACTGTATTCCTGGCATCATCAACACTCCTGTTACTCTATGATTTTCTTCCAACACTCTGAGTAGAATACAGTTAATAGAATACTCTGAGTAGAATATTATTGACTTAAGTGGTCTCCCTGGCCAGGGATAGAACTCATGCTGCAGTAGCTAGTGATAGCTTGATAGTGCTGAGACTTTAACCCCTGTGACACCAGAGAAGCCCCAAAATAAAGGTTTAAATGATATTAACAAGTATATATAAATCTCACCTAAGTTTCCTATTCATCTTAGGGCAAGCTATGTGTTTCTGAGGGGGATGACATGTGGATGACTTTCACATTCCCTAACTTTTAAAATGAACAAGTGTTACTGCTGTTAAGAAGAAACTATAATAATAACACAGACAAGAACTGTTTACAGTCTTCACAGCAATGTATACCCGGTCAAAAAAAAAAAAAAAAAAAGAAAATATTGGTTGATGGCCTGGCACATATATTTGAAAGAATTTGTGACAATGCCTTCTGAATTATTATGAATGGACTCTTTGCATGGCTCCAATGTCATGCAAACTCACTAATAATATGTAAGACTCGAATGGGGATGGATAAAATCAAGATCTTTTTTTTAGGAAGATCAACATCCTGGTGGGAAGAGAAATCTCAGTAAACTGTACCTTGCACTCATAATTATTGGACCAGAAAGGAGTCTCTTGATGGAAAGACATGGAAGAAGTGAGCTGAACTATGTAATGAGCTTTTCATGACAAAGAAAACTTGAGTTAAACATCAACCGTTTAATAAAAAGATGAAGTCACTGCCCACATCAGGCACTGTTTTCAAAATGTTTGCTTCCCACGGGGGGTTTTCATTTCTAACTTTCATCTTCCCTTCATATTTCAGCAAGGTCTTTGCCTCTTCTGTTCTTCAAATTGTAGTTAAGAATGGAAATAGTGAAAGGGATCAACATAGTGGTGGGGAAATGCTATGGGTAAGTCCTCCCATTAAAAAAAAAAAAATGCTAATAGGGAAGAAAGGGGGCAGGTCTCTGCAAAAACCAGGACACGGAAGATAAACTGGTGAGTCTGGCAAACTACCCGAAGAGGAAAATTGCCATAAAACAGGAGGAAAAGAGAGGAAGCTCAGAACCCTGCTACCCTCCCCCACCCATAACGCAGGTACACTCCAACCAACAGAAAGAAAAAAACAACAACATGAACAAACTATACATCATAAGGGACTGTGAGTGGAAAGGAACTATTGCAGGCACTGCACCCCGTGAACAGGAACTGTGGAGAACCGTGCGGGAACCGCCACAGAGGTGAGCGAGCGGCTCTGGGCGCCATTGGAGGAAAACAAGGACTCTTCTGACAGACCTGCAAATAGCACAAGGCCAGCCAGTAACCTTGTGCAGAAAAGCAGTGGCCACGAAAAGCATATATGGATCGGCGGCCCAGGTGCTGCGCCCACGACCTAGGTTTGTGGGGAGATACATGGGGGCCCTCACTGAGGAGAATGTCCCCACTGAGTAATCAGAAACCAGGCGCCCAGACATGGGAGCAGGGTGCAAAAGGCACCATTTCTGCAGACAGTGAACTGGGCTACAGCCCGCGGCCTGTATGCGAGGGCTTCGGAACTGAGACCCGGGGTTGAAATTCGGGGCATGGGATCCCCACGACGGTGAGGCGCAGGGCACACAGCACCCCCACGCCACTGAGGCGCTCCATGCTACCCCCATTCTGTTCCCCAGACCCAGGGGAGGAAAAAACAGTCCTGGAAGGTCACTAGGAAAGATCTCTAACGACCAGAACAAAATTACCAACATCCTGATAGTTGGAAACCAGGCATCCCAAAAACACCCTCAGGCTCTGAGAGAGGGTGGGCCAACCAAATGGGGGTAGGGAGGGGAATAAGGTGTGGAGCAAGACCCTATTCTGGAACTGAGAGCCAGGCACAGGATCGGGGGTGTGGGACGAGCCATAGAGTGGGCACTGTACAAGGTGACACCCAGCATTTTGGATCTGATAGCCCTGGATCTAAGACCTAGACGCAGAATTCAGGGTGCAGGATCCATTCAGCTGCAGGCACAGCACCAAGTCAACAAGGGGAAGACACAGCACCCAGCATAAGCAATAGACCCTGTGTGGAGAGAACCACTGGGAAAGAGCACAGGTCAGCAAGTACAGGTCTCTGGCGCCACCTCGTGCCCAGAACTAAATCACCAACAGGCTGATTCCCTGTTGGAACTGAGTAAATACAGAGGGAGGGAACTGTAAGGGACAGTGCCCAGCAACACAGCATCAACACCCTGGTGGAGTTTTGGCCTACCAGTGTTGGTCTCAGTCTGGTAAACAGTTTCTGACACCCCTAAAGCAGCACTCCAAAGAGATGCCCGCCAACACCAGTGGCACAACATCCCAATGCATAGAACTAATTAGAAAGCAAACAACAGGGAGAAGAAAAAATAAAAATAACCAAGAAGTTCTCAGGAGAAGGACGCACCACAAGAAGAAATACAGTTACCAGAGCTCAACAATGACATGGAATAACTTCTCGGCCTATCAGATAGAGAATTAATAATCAGCTGATTAAAAAGCAGAAAGAAAACGAAAAGGGGAAAAAATGATTTGAGACAAATAATCACTGAACTGAAGAATGAAATTGAGACCTTAAGAAAGGAAAGAAAAGAAATGCAGGATACTAAAAGATTACTAGAAGAGATAAAGAACTCTGGGAAAAGCAATG